CTCGGCAATAACATATTGCCCTTGTTGTGGGTTTAAACATTTCAGCTTTGGGGAGGAGAACCCTTTCATATATAATTGATTATTGATGATGGTGTAAAATGAGGTGCTCCGCACTAACTTTTGAGCCAAACTTGAATCAAAAAGGGTTGTGTCTTTAGTTAGGCACTTCCAAATTGGAGTCATCCAATCTATTGCAGTATCTGGATGTAGTTCTTCATCATAAATCATGTGTTCCACGCAATGAAATGGACAAGCCTTTCGTTTAGTGATGGACATTATTATACTTGGATTAGGTACGCTTTGTTGAATGACTGACCTATTATTCCCAGGGCCTTTTATACTAGCAAGTTTGGACAAAAATTTTTCCCTAGCATTTTTTTCTCGTGGAATATGTTCAATCTTAACATTTTCAAAATTAACCAGTAATAAGCGTACCTTATCCAAATATTTAGCCATTAGGACCTCCTTTGCTTGGTAGGTTCCTTGCAGTTGCGCCACTACCAGCTATGAGTCACTCTTCAGGATTACTCTTGTTGCGCCTAGGTCTTTTGCCATTGCCAATCCTGCTAAGACTACCTCGTATTCTGGTTGATTATTAGAAGCCTTAAAACCAAATTGGATAGAGTGTTTCACAGTGATACCTTGAGGACTTTCAACGATAACTCTAGCACCACTTCCTTTAAGATTAGAGAACCATCGACAAAGATTGTACAGTTACCTTCTAATTGCATGACTTTTGAATGCATCATTTCAACAAGGAAATCGGCTAACACTTGTGCTTTAATCGCCTGACGCAGTTCATAAATGATTTCATACTCTGACAATTCAATAGATCAAGTGATCATTCGTCGTGCAAGATTAGGTTGACGTAAGATCTGTCTAAGAGGTTGGTTAGTTCTAACTTTGATTAAATGTCCTTGGAAATAATGACGCAACTTGTGAGATGTTATGATGAGTGCAAAGGCTACCTTCTCAATCTATTGGTAACGCAATTTTGGCCCTTGAAGGGCTTTACTGACAAAATAAATTGGTTGTTGACCATTGGTGTCTTCATACAATAATACAACGCTGATGGCCTCATGGCTGACAGAAAGATAAAGTACTAATGGTTCATCAGGTTGTGGTCTTACCAAGACTAGTAGGTCAGCCAAGTGCTTCTTTATTGAGACAAATTCTCCTTCGCATTTTGGAGTCCAATCGAAAGTAGTTTGCTTGCACAATAGTTTAAAGATGGGAAAAGATTTTTGTGCCGAGACAGACAAAAATCTAGTCAGAGCTGTTATTCGTCCAGTCAATTATTGCAATTCTTTGATACTCCGCAGACTAATCATGTCAAGAATTGCTATACATTTGTCTAGATTCGCCTCTATTCCCCGGTGTGTTAGCATGAATCCTAAGAATTTCCCAGCTGGGACTCCAAATGCGCATTTTGCTGGATTAAGTCGTATCTTATATTTGCGCAATTGCTGAAACACCTGTTCTAAATCATGTCGATGTTGTGAGATTGTTGTAGTCTTAACAATCATATCATCAATATAAACTTCCAGCATTCGACCAATTTGTTGACTGAATACTTTATTCATCATACGCTGATATATTGTGCCAGCGTTTTTAAGACCAAAAGGTATTATGTTGTAACAGTATGTGGCCTTTTCTGTAATAAAAGCAGTGGCTTCTTCATCATGTTTGAACATTGGAATTTGGTTATACCCTGAATAAGCATCCATAAAAGAAAGAATCTGATAACACACTGAATTATCAACTAACTTATCAATAGTTGGAAGAGGGTAAAAGTCCTTTGGGCAGTGCTTATTAAGATCTGTATAATCTGTGCACATTCGCCACTTGCCATTGGCTTTCTTGACCAAAACAACATTAGAAAGCCAGGTAGAATACGTAATTTCTCTAATGACCCCAGCATCTAGCAGCTTCGTGACCTCATTATCAATCACCTTTTGCTTTTCGGGAGAGATTTTTTGCTTCTTCTGAGCAACTGGTTTTGCTTTTCGTTCAATAGTAAGGTGGTGGCAAATGACATCTGGATCTAACCCTAGTATATCAGCAGCTGTCCAAGCGAACAAATCTTTGTTTTTCAATAACACTGCTATCAATGAGCTTTTTTCATTTTCCTGCATGTGTCGACCGATTTTGGTAGCATTCCCTTGTAGTGGGACAAGTTGAAGATCTTCTAACTCACCATCAGGTTATGGCCGCACATCGCGCAAATCCTCGAGCATATCTAAATCCGTCATATTGATAGAAGCTTTTCCTTTAGTATGATGATGAATGGAGGATCTATTGTTCACCTTTAAACTGGTATTGTAACAACTACGTGCTGCCTTCTGGTAGCCTCTAACAGAAATGATAGCACCAGAAGAATCTCTGAACTTCATTAAAAGATGCGGCATGGAAATGATTGCGCCTAAAGCACTAATGGTTGGTCACCCTAAAATTACATTATACGCCAAGGCGCAATCAATAACATAAAAGCGCACCTTGATGGTTTGTCCGAGAGGCATAATCCCAAAAGTTACCAATATTTCAATGGTACCTTTAGGTTGTACACACTCGCCAGAAAAACCATGCAAGTTCGTACATCCAGGGATTAAATGTTGTCCTGGGATATTCATTGCACGAAAGCGTCCCAAAAAATTATATCAGCAGAACTACCACTATCAATCAAAATGCGTTTTACCTGAAGACTTTCCATGCAAGCTGAAATTACAAATAGATCATCATGGCCGGGAATGATATCACTATAATCATCATCATCAAAATTAATTAATTGACAATTTGGACGAGACATAGTACTGCCCATGATTATTAACTGTCATGACAGCTTTTAGATGTCGCTTGCGTTGCGAGCTGGTGTCTCCTCCTCCAACTGTTCCTCCAGAAATGGTGGCTAATACTCCAGCTGCATTATTGGGTAGTTGCGGAGATCTCTGGTGCACTGCCTGTTGTTCATGTTGTCTATTACGTACTGATGCTTCCTCCTATCTACTAGTGCGCATTCCTATCTTTGTTATATCTAGGGCAATTATAACCGCCCCTCCCCTAATTCCCTCATCTTTCTGGGTTCCTATCATTAACAGGGCTTCGATCCTGCCTCCTTTGTGTCTTACAATCTTTGTAGGTTGAAATAAATTCTTGAAGTTTACCTGCTCTAATTAGTACTTCAATAGTATTTTTTAAATCACAACACTCATCTGTAGTATGACCAGTATCATCATGAAACTCACAAAATTTAGTTTCATCACGTCTTCCATTCTTTTTGAGTGGTGGGGGTTTCGAAACACGAACATAACTAGCTTGAAATACCTTTTTAAGAATTCTCCTTCGCGATGTAGTCAAAAGAGTATAATTTTCAATTTTTTCCCACTTTCTTTTCTCTCGAAACCGTCTCTGAAAATCTTTTTGAAAGTCTTTTTAAAAATTATCAATTTCTGGTTTAATCTCAGGAATGTCCAGAGAACGCTTATAATCTTCTAAATTAATAAATTTTTCAGATCACGCTCTAAAGTCCTCTATAGTTGGCGGACGATGTTTGGCCAACGACATAGAGAACAGACCTTCCAATAGTCCTTCGATGATGAGATGTATAAAAATTTGTGGGTCTAGATCTTTCACCAAGAGTTCTTCATCGAAAATCCTGTTGAGGTAATCGCGCAAAGTTTCACGTGTTCCCTATCTAACCATTTTCAAGGCATGAGTGGATTTATACTACGCTTTGCTAGTAGCAAACCGTATAAGGAATTGGCTCGCGAGATCTTTCCAACTTTGAATTGAATTGGTAGGTGTTGCGACTCGGCCAGTGCCCACGAGGATTGTATTTCAAACACTAGTTCACTAATCGCGGTTTAGTTGGACAATTGAAATTTAAAAGAAAACAATTAATAACATGCAAATTAAAATTCAGAATTAAAAAGCAATTGGAAAGATAATTGATTTAAAGATTAAAAACAAGCGTAGTTAGGGTTTCGACTTCCCCCAATCTCCTCTATATGCAATGAATTAAATTGTCAAGAATCTGTTCTTAATACAATGCCAATCAATTCTTTCTAAGTTAATTAGGGCTCAATTCCTTGTTATCCTAAATCTATGTGATTTTGAAAGAACTCTAGTCCCGCGATTATTCCCCAAGAAAACATGCATTAAGATCAAGAATTTAAAGATTGCACAATTACCCTATGTCTATCCCTAGATCACAAAGATTATGATAAATTTACCATGTCAGGGTTCAAGCACCAACATCCCTATTGTCATACAATTCCCCTAAATCAATCTATAAGGCGCAAACTCATAAAAAGAATTAAAGACGGATAAATTTATTCAATTATAAAAAGAAAAAATTCAGGAATAATTTAATTCAAGACATACGATTCAATTAGGTTCCATCTACCCTTAATTACATAAAAGTCTAGCCTAGCATACTGAATTCAAAAGCAATAATAAAGAAAAGAGAACCCTAAGCCTCCATTCGTGTGATGTTGACTTGGTTCCTCAGTGCTTCAACGCTATTCCTCCCTCAGGTCTCTGTGTAATTCTCTGGATTGGTGAATTGGTTTGACCCTAAGCTCTCTATTTATAACCTTTGAAGCCATATCTTTTAATTCTTCATCAAATCTCCCCATGAATCTCTATCAATTCCCAATCAAATCTTGATTTGTTTATGTTTTTATTTAAGATCCTACAGATTGGGATGATAGATTGAGCTTCAAATCTTTGTTAGGATTCTTTGATCACTTTTTAGCACCAAATCTTGTGGATTTACCTTCAAAATAAGCAAGATATCAAAACATTAGCTCAATTTTCAAATCTTTATTATTTTATCATATAACACCTTGAATTCCATGCAATCTACCATATAATCTTTATGTAATTTGGCCTAAAAATATGGTAAACCAATAGTTTATCAAACATTCCCAGATTTGAATATTGCTGTCCTCAGCAATCAATCATATTCCATAACAAATATATTTATGGGCTTTGTCCTCCAGGATACCATGATGATGGGTGCTGACTACTATCAAACGGATTTTGAAATTGCATCTCTGCTGGCAGAAGGAAAGGTTCCAGTTGGTGTTGGAAAGAATACCAAAATCAGGTGCCATGATGCCTCTTAATGAACCCTTTCTCATTTCATAAAAAATTCCCTCGTATCTTTATTCTAGAAGAACAAGTAATAGGCTAAGCTATACGCACAAGTTATAACATCAAATTAGTTAGCTGTTAATTTCTAAATTCTTAAATTCTAATTTCTGCTGATTTCCTGCTCCAACATATTTAAAGGAATTGTATAATCGACAAGAATGTCAAGATAGGAAAAAATGTGATTATAACAAATGGTGATGTAAGTGCTGCTTCAAAATATTGACTTTGAAAACTTTCTGTATTTTACTATCCAGCCTTCTCTGTTGACAAAGTAAGTTGACTTCTCAGGGTGTTCAAGAAGCAGACAAGCCTATGGAAGGATTCTACATTAGGTCCGGCATCATAGTTATAGTGAAGAATGCAACAATTAAAGATGGAACAGTCATTTAAAGGAGTTGATAACAGAAATTACAGTATATATTCTTCTTTTTTTTTTTTTTGGTATTTTAAACTGCAGTATAATTAGTTCGCTGATATATTACTAAAAGTGTAATGAAACCATAGATGAATGCTCTTTTTGTATATGACAAGTTACTCTCATTGTAAGAACTCATTAATTTAAGTATAAATAACTCCTGTTGGCCTTGTTTCTTTCAGAGCCTCATTAGATATAAAGCTATGAACATATAATATTCATGAGACTCTCCAAAGGGCATTTCGTTAAAGACCTCATTAGATATAAAGCTATGAACATATAATATTCATGAGACTCTCCAAAGGGCATTTCGTTAAAGACCTCATTAAATATAAAGCTATGAACATATAATATTCTAAAGGGCATTTCATTAAAGACCTCATTGGATATAAAGCTATGAACATATAATATTCACGAGGAGAGAAAATTCTGAAGATCTCTCCAAAGTCTTCAAGACTTGTCTCAGTTTTTGTCATTAGCACCAGCCTGCCATTGTGTGCTTCTAATGCTTCTCATTCTGGAGTACATCTTTCGAATTCGGGTTAGCTTTTCAGACTCTTGAGCAATCAAACTAGCTGTTGAGGGGCTCTCACCTAAGACTACCTCATAACCATCTCTAAAAGAATCCATTCCTTCAGTTAGAAGTTGCCAAAATAAGCCACCAACAGCTGCCCCACCACCACTTGCTGAAGAATAGATTGCAGAATAGACTACATTGAAAAACTGGTCCCTTGGTTTTGAGTCAGAACTGAAATTTTTTGTTGAAAACCCAAACTCAGCAAAGAGAACAGGCTTATGAAAGGTGTTCTGTGCATCTTGGATATGCTCACTGAGCCAACTACCTAAAAATGAGATTTGGTCTTCATAACTTGAACCTGATAACCTGCTCATGGAATGTGAACCAATTCAGCATTATCATAAAATATAAAACCTTATACACCAAAAAATTTACACCTTTCTTATTTAATTATTATAAGAATGACATAAGAAAAATGGTGCATGAATATGTTAGTACTAATTATCATCATTGTGTTTTTATAAAGAATGGAAATAAAATTCCACACCATTGATCAGGATACGAGTGAACTGTTGCAAAATCAATGGCAGGGATTTGGTTATTTGCAATGAAATCTGTTCCTTCGTGGAAGTTTGGATTAGACTCTTGCTTTGACTGGCCGTAGAAGCCTTCAAGACCAACTTCCAGCAAGTGGTTTCCATCTATGGATTTCAAGTAAGATGCCATCTCAGTAATCCAAGCCTGTCAAACCGGGAAATAAAACTCAATTATGTTAAGGGACGCGAACCCTTAACGGAGATTCAGCAACAGAACAATGAAATTGGGGAAGTAAAACCAAAGGAAACGAAAGAAAGAACAAGTATAATTCTCAATGAATGGTTCCAATTACAACATATGTCCCTTTTATTCTAATGAGAGCAAGCTATGAGTGTAACAACCAATGCCACGTCACAATTACAATTACAATAGCTAACTCAGTAACATGTATAACCGACTACTAACATTCTGTTCCATTTCTAATACCATCACAGTAACTATTCTATACAATGTATTATATCTAACAGCTATGTTTGTAGAGATTACTTGTAATACAATTACACGTCAGCTTTAGTTAGTTAGTTAGTTACTTAATGAAGTAGTTAGTTAGGGTCTTCATTTCTGATAGCCAAGGCTATATATATATACATTGATGTAATGGTTCATTAATTAATCGATTCAGTTTTCCTTTTCCTGTACTTTCTACTGTTCTCTCTCAATGCTTTCATACTGTAAGATGGTATCAGAGCTCTACACAGAGCTCTGATCCGCCATTTTTCCTTTACGTTTTCGTTTCTGTTTTTTTTTCTTTTCGAGATTACTTGATCACAGCTTAAGATGGCGGATCAAGGTTCTGGGCATGAAGCAGAAGTCACGAACGAAGGTGCAAATGAAACTGTACCTAGAAGACAAGAAAATTCATCAAGATCTGTTGATATTTCAGATCCAGCAAGTCTATATTTCCTTCATCCTAACGAGAATCCTTCACTCGTTTTGGTCTCTTCTCCTATGAATGGGAAAAACTACCATGGATGGGCCAGGTCGATGTCGATGGCTCTGATTTATAAGAACAAAATAGCTTTTGTTAATGGAACGATCTTGATTCCAGATGTATCAGATTTTCGTTTTGCAGCCTGGGAGAGATGCAACACTATGGTGCTCTCATGGCTTCATCGTTCAATTACAAGCTCGATTTCTCAATCAATCCTATGGATGGATCGAGCTTATGATGTTTGGAGAGATCTTAAAGAAAGGTTTTCACAATCTGATATGTTCAGAATATCAGATCTTCAAGATGACATTTATCGATTACAACAAGGAGATAGTTCAATCTCCGATTACTTCACACGTCTCAAGATTTTGTGGGACGAATTAGAGGCGCTGCAACCTACTCCTACTTGCAAATGTGTCAATCCTTGCTGTTCTATTGCGAAGGAGATTAAGATTATCAGAGAAAGAGATTATTCAATTAGGTTTCTCAAAGGATTATGTGAACAATTTTCACATGTCAAGTCTCAGATCATGCTCATGGATCCACTGCCGACAATTAATCGCGTTTTCTCATTGATAGCTCAGCAAGAAAGACACTTGCAATTGGAAGGTAATGCCTCTAACTATCATGATCCTTCAAAAGTATTTTTCAATTCTGGTGAACAGGTTCAAGGAAGGGGGCATTTTCAAACTCGTGGCAGAGGACGAAATGCATATCCAACTGGTGGACGTGGACGTGGTTTCAGGTTATGCACTTATTGTGGCAAAACCAGTCATACAATTGAAACATGTTTTGAAAAACATGGTTATCCATCTGGATTTAAGGTGAAGAATTTTACAAACAGAGCAAATATGATCACAAGTGACTATCCTGCTCAGGTTGAAAATGTTCCAGAAGCAGAAGCAAAAGGAAATTTTACTAAGGATCAGTATCACACCATCATGGGAATGATTCAACAATCTATGCAGTTACAGCAGAATCCTGGCTCAACTTCCTCTCATGATGCATCAGTTCCTCGAACTAGTAACATGGTTCAAACTACTTCAGCTCTTAGTGTTGACAGTAACACATCTTCAGCAGGTATGACCAATACTCAGTGGATACTTGATACGGGAGCAACTGACCACATTACCTATTGTTTAGACGTTTTGTCTGATATTAGAAGTATAGATCCAATAGCTATATCTCTCCCTAATGGATGTAGAGTTTTCTCATATGTTTGTGGCACTGTTGTGGTCTCAAGGTCACTCATTTTAACTGATGTCCTATATGTGAAGGAGTTTGGGGTAAATTTGATTTCAGTGAGTAAATTAACTCACAATTCTGATTGCCATGTCATATTTCAGCATCAAACATGTACCATTCAACAGGGACATCACTTGGAAGTGATTGGTTCTGCTAGATTAGAGAAAGGATTGTATGTTCTTTCTCAAGGTGCTGACAGCATGGGTAGAATTCTTGAAGAAGTTTCACTCAAAGATTTGAAGACTTTCAATAATAGTAGTTACATAGCTGATACTAAAGCCATTGATATTTGGCATTTACGATTAGGACATTGTTCTAAATCTGAAATAAGAGCTATGATTCAACAGTTTCCTTTCATTACTTGTAAGTACTTAGACAATCCTTGTGATATTTGCCATATGGCTAAACAGAAGAGGCTTTCTTTTAATCACAGTACTACAACATCAATTGCAGCCTTTGATATTGTACATGTTGATATTTGGGGCCCATACTCTGTGACTTCAATTCATGGTCATCGTTTTTTGTTAACAATTGTAGATGATTACACCCGTTTTACATGGGGCATTCTTATGAAATCCAAATCAGAAGTAAGAGGACATATTCAGGCATTTGTAGCTTTAATTGCAACTCAGTTTCATAAAACAATTAGAACATTTCGAAGTGACAATGGAGTAGAATTCAAAATGAATGATTTCTTTTCTCAAAAAGGGATTCTCCACCAAACTTCTTGTGTGGAATCACCTCAACAAAATGGTATAGTAGAGAGGAAGCATCAACATATTCTCAATACATCTAGAGCACTTCTTTTTCAAGGCAAATTACCATGCAGTCTTTGGTCTTACTGTGTTACACACGCCATCCACATTATCAATAGACTTAGCACACCAAAATTGAGTAACAAATCACCATTTGAACTGCTATATGGTGAACCACCTGTACTCACGCATCTCAGAGCCTTTGGATGCTTAACATATGCATCTACTATTGTTGCTGGTCGTTCTATGTTTGATCCTCGGGCATCAAAATGCATATACATTGGACATAAGGATGGAACAAAAGGATATGTGCTATGTGATCTTTTCTCCAGACAAATTCTTGTATCAAGGAATGTTATGTTTTATGAACACCAGTTCCCACTTGTTACTGAAATATCTGACAAAAGTACTAACCCGTGGCCTATTGGTCATGATATCCCTTCATCTTATGATATGTTTCCCACAGGTGGACAAACTTCTCCTGCTGCTACTAGTCCTGCCACATCAGAAGCAATTCCTCATGAACCATCAGCAACAGTTCTTCTTGATAGAACAGAAGACAATTTTTCTGATCCTCTCCCACAACCAATCCCATCTACAAGCTGTATCCCAGAATTACATGATGATACTCTAGCACTCAGACGTTCCACACGGTGAGAGCTCCACCTAAACATCTCAATGAATATCAATGCAATGTGTCCACTTCCATTCCCAAATCATATCATTCTCTGTCTTCCTTAGTGTCTTATAAGCACTGTTCATCAGAATACACTTCCTTTTGCCATAATATCAGTTCATTTGTTGAGCCCACTAGTTACAAACAAGCAGCACAGTCCCCTGAATGGGTAGCTGCCATGAATGAAGAACTTGAAGCACTACATAGGAATCATACTTGGGAGTTTGTTGACTTACCCAAAGGAAAACGCCCAATTGGATCTAAATGGGTATATAAAATAAAGCATAACCCCGATGGTACTGTTGCTAGACACAAGGCTCGTTTAGTGGCAAAGGGGTATAATCAAATGGAAGGTGTAGATTATTTTGAAACCTTCTCCCCTGTTGCAAAGCTCACAACTATCAGATTACTCCTTGCCATAGCTACTGCTCGAAACTGGTTCCTTGAGCAACTAGACATCAATAACGCATTCTTACATGGTGACTTATCTGAAGAGGTGTTCATGGTGGTTCCAGAAGGAGTCACTACTGCACATAAGCCACAACAAGTATGTAAATTGAAGAAATCACTTTATGGCCTCAAACAATCGAGCAGACAGTGGAATGCTCGACTCACTGCAGAGCTTTGTTCTTTTGGCTACACTCAATCTGCCTCTGATCACTCACTCTTTACCAAGGTAAGTGGCAACTCTTTTACTGCACTTTTGGTTTACGTTGATGACGTGGTATTGAGTGGCAATGATATGCAAGAAATAACATCTGTCAAAAATCATCTTGACAAGTTATTTCGAATAAAAGATCTTGGACCATTAAGGTTTTTCCTTGGCCTTGAAGTGGCTCGATTCTCTCATGGTTTGATACTTAATCAAAGAAAATATGTGCTTGAGCTTCTTAAGGATGGTGGCCTCACTGGTGCTAAACCAGCTTCCACCCCAATGGAGCCAGGATTACGTCTTCAGCAGAACAAGGGAACTGTTTGCTCTGATCCTGCTAGATACCGGCGACTGGTGGGTAGGCTGTTATACCTCACAAATACCAGGCCAGATATTGCCTTTGCTGTCCAACAATTAAGTCAATTTGTTTCCAATCCCATGCAACCTCATTTTGATGCAGCTTGTCGGGTCCTGAGATACCTTAAAGGATCTCCAGCAAAGGACTCTTCTTCCCAGCAAATAACATATTAGATCTTCGTGGTTTTGTTGATGCCGACTGGGCCACATGTCCAGACACTAGGCGGTCTACCACTGGTTACTGTGTTTTCTTTGGGTCATCCTTAATCTCATGGAAATCCAAGAAGCAAAGTACCGTGAGTCTCTCCTCTGCTGAATCAGAATACCGTGCGCTTGCTGCTATTGCTTGTGAACTCCAGTGGTTGGTTTACCTTCTCAATGACTTGATGGTTCCATTTACTCAACCAGCCGTCGTCTACTGTGACAACCAAGCAGCTATACATTTAGCACACAATCCTTCTTTTCATGAAAGAAGCAGACATATCGAACTTGATTGTCATGTTACAAGAGAAAAAATTGTGGCTGGTCTTCTACGTCTTTTACCAATTACTACATCTCAACAATTAGCAGACAACTTTACTAAAGCTTTACATCCAGCTCCTTTTCATAACTTCTTGTTCAAGTTGGGGCTTCATGATCTTCATCCTCCAACTTGAGGGGGGGTGTAGAGATTACTTGTAATACAATTACACGTCAGCTTTAGTCAGTTAGTTAGTTACTTAATGAAGTAGTTAGTTAGGGTCTTCATTTCTGATAGCCAAGGCTATATATATATACATTGATGTAATGGTTCATTAATTAATCGATTCAGTTTTCCTTTTCCTGTACTTTCTACTGTTCTCTCTCAATGCTTTCATACTGTAAGAATGTTCCTAATGAATATTATCAACAAAGTCTTTTACCCAACTTGAAGCTCCACTCCTCCTCTTCGTAACAAATTATCTCTTTTAAAGCTTAATGTATAAACTTTAAATTACTTTCCATTAAACTCCGACTAGGTAGGATAGTGATGAGAGAATTTCTTGTACGTTGTCTTACTCTTATATATTTGCAAGAAAACTATTTTTCAAATTCGAATCAGTAACCTTTCAGTCACAAAGTATCTCTTTTGATGTGTAAAAACAAAAATATTTGTATCTTGAAAGTCGAAGTTCTTGGTCTCAATTGGTTTCCCTCTACTTAGTGCTTAGACACAAACTCAAGTGATGAAAAATTGAGTGATGTTAATTTTCTTTACATTGCACTAACACCAGTACTCACATGTGAATTCATTTTCAAATCTTACTTATCCCAGTTATATGTTTTACATTAAACCAAAAGCTAAAACTACGATAGTGACGCAGAAGATATAATGTGAAATTATAATTACTGAAGAAATTTACTAGAAATATTAACTAACTTTGCTTTTGTGAGCTACCCAAATATTAATGGCTGGTGGACATAACTTTGTTATTTTTACTCGGTTTACCATATATTAGTTGCAAACCTAACTTGACCATAAGTCTCATAGATATCTATATTCTCACTCATAACAGAGACTGTTGGTTCACTTTGTCAATAGGGCAGATAAAATAATGAATAGGAGTGAGAATGAAAAGTTGAAAAATGAGGGTTGAAAATGGAAAAAGTAATTTAGATACAATATGTCTGAAAACAATCAACGGTTTCATTTTTCTGCTTTTTTTAACCTCTTATTCTTACTCCTACCTACCAAGTACCAAGTTAAATGATTGACCAAAATAATTTAAGATCTAGGTAGGTGCATAAAAATGATGCTTAAAATGGCAGCTTAAAGAAATAGAATTGAAAAGCCGAATAATAGTTACCTGAACCGTCTTTCCTGATTGATCTGAAGAGCATCTAATCTCATTCATGAGCTCCCAAGCCATTATAGTTGGATCATCTTTATAAGCAACTCCATTGAGGCTATTACGTCTTGTAAGTACACTCTACGATATAACACACATAGAAACTCACAATGTTAGGCCAGTTATATATATATATATATATATATATATATATATATATATATATATATTGTTGAGTTGTATATTTTTTATAATTTGAAAGATTTAATTTCTGATTTGATTGACCAATTTATGTAGCAATTAAAGGGACTTCGTTACATGGAGAGATTTTAGGAATTATGTGGAGAGATTTTAGGAGTTTTAATTTCCTAATTATTTGTAATTCTCTCCCTTGATTTATGGCTGATTTGTAGCCTGATTTATGACTGATTTGTAACTCTAATACTTTGTATATAATGACCTCTATTGAGGTAGAAGAAATACAAATGAATTACTATTCTATAGAGTTCCTTGATTTTTAACATGGTACCAGAGCCTCTGTTCTAATCCAGCAAAGGGACTGCGAAATCAGTCTCACATGTATCCATACTTGAAGTGTAATCCTGAAATCATCTTCACCTTTCTTTCATTATTCTATTCTCCCTAGCAAAGCAATGGTCACTACCTCTTATGAAAGTCCCCAGCAGCCCACTACCAATGCTGCTTACTCGGGTACTGTTGATAAAACTCCTTTTTTTTTCCTGCATGTTCTAGAGATGATATTTGGATAATTGACACTGGAGCTTCTGATCATATGACAAAGGATTCTAGTAAGTTGCATTGTTTTTTCCCTTCTTCCCAATCATTCATTTCTATTGCTAATGGTAGTACCTCTTCTATCACTGGTAAAGGATCTCTTATCCTGTCTGAATATCTTCATTTGACTTCTGTTTTGGTTGTCCCTTCCCTTGAATATAACTTACTTTCCGTAGCACAACTTACTAGTACCTTGAACTGTACTGTCACCTTTTGGCCCTCATTTTGTGTGTTCGCGGAAATTTCCACCCGAAAGGCTCTTGGCTATGGTGTTAAGCGAGACAAACTTTATTATCTGGATGTTACCAGAAAGAGACAGAATAAATTGGGAGATAAGGCTCGGGAAACAATTTGGCTTTGGCATAAAAGACTAGGACATCTCTCTCTTGGCTATGAAAAAACTCCATCCAAGATTTTTTTCTAGTTTGAATATTGATGATTTCCATTGTAACACATGTGAACTAGCAAAAAGCCATCGTTTTTTCCTATTCTCCTAGTAGTAATAAAAGTTCAATTCCTTTTGAAGTTGTTCACTCTGATGTTTGGGGACTGGCTGATGTCCCTTCCCTATCTAAAGCTCGATACTTTGTGACATTTATAGATGAATGTACTCGAATGACATGGGTCATGTTGTTACATAAGAAAGTTGATATATTTACAGCCTTCCAAACCTTTCACCGAATGGTAGCCACACAATTTCAATGCCAGATCCGAATTTTGCAGTCTGATAATGAGACCGAATATACAGATAAATCTTTTGCGCAGTTCTTGAATCACAAGGGGATTAGACATCAGACCTCTTGTACTTATACACCACAGCAAAATGGTTTAGCCGAAAGGAAAAATAGACAACTTATGGAGGTTGTTAGTGCCTCTCTCTTTGGCCTAAATATGCCCCGTCTTTACTGGGGTGAAGCTGTTCGCTCTACTGCTTATCTGATTAATCGTACCCCTTCTAGTGTCATCAACTTTGTGACTCCTCAACAGAAGTTTGAATCACTACTTTCTGTTCCCCACATTCCCAATCTTGAGCCGCATGTGTTTGGCTGCATTGTTTATGTCCATATTGCCAAAGTACTACATAACAAACTAGATTCATGTGCTAAATTGTGTGTGTGTGTTGGTTACTCTGATGTTCAGAAAGGATACCGGTGTTATGGTCTCCAACAACTAAAAGATACATATCACTCTAGATGTCTCTTTTCGGGAATTTGAACCTTATTATTCTGGGGGAGTTTCTGGGTCTCCTCTTCAGGGGGAGAGTTACTATGAAGAGCAAGACCAATTAGCCACCTTGAATGGAGGAGGAACTAAAGCAACATATACAGGTGTGGAGAATGTTGAAGTCTTACACTCTGACTCTCCAGTAACAACAGAAATACTTTGCTTAACACCAAAAACTAAGAGATCTCTCTGGGACCACCATAATCCAACAGAGGTAATTTCTAATACTACTCCTCTTGAAGAAAATATCTTTCAGTATGATAATCTACCCACTGAAAGTGTCATTGTGTTTCCTGATATTCCTACTGAAACCATGATTAATTCTGGTGACATAACTCTTAAAAGATCACATAGGATCAATAAGGGTGTCCCAAAGGAACTGTATGAACCTGACCCCAATGCTAAAGCTAAATATCCTATTAGTAACTATGTGTCTAATCACAGGTTGTCTGAGTCATATGCTCTTGTTGTTGATCAATTGTCCAGTATATCTGTCCCTAGTAATGTGCAGGATGCATTGAAGGATATGAATTGGAAGAAGGCAATGAATAATGAAATGGGGGCCTTGCAAAAGAACTCTACTTGGGAGCTCGTGCCCTTACCAGATGGCAAAAGAACCATTGGATGTAGATGGGTGTTTACTGTAAAGCTGAAGGCAGATTGAAGCATTGACAGGTACAAAGTTAGATTGGTGGCAAAAGGATACTCGCAAAAGTATGGAGTAGACTACCAAGAAACCTTTGCACCAGTAGCTAAAATCAATACAGTCCGGATAATTATGTCCATAGCTGCAAATAGAGATTGGCCACTACAACAATTTGATGTGAAAAATGCATTCTTAAATGGAGACCTTGAAGAGGAGGTGTACATGGAGATACCACCAGGTGTCAAACAAAGTTCTTTTAGTGAGAATAAAGTTTTTAAATTGAAGAAAGCCTTATATGGACTTAAACAATCCCCTAGAGCATGGTTTGTGAGATTTTCTTCTGCAATGAAGAGATTTAGATATAAACAAAGCAATGTTGACCACACCTTGTTCATTAAACACAAGGAAGGAAAAGTGACCGTATTGATTGTCTATGTAGATGACATGGTCCTGACAGGAGATGACATAGATGAGATGAAACTTCTGCAAAAGAAACTAGCAAGTGAATTCGAAATGAAAGATCTAGGAGATTTGAAATACTTCTTGGGAATTGAGATAGTAAGATCAAAACAAGGTATTTATCTTTCACAAAAGAAATATGTACTAGATCTCCTCACTGAGACTGGAATGCTCGCGTGAGATGAATCATGTGCTTGGAATATTTCTGGATCAAAAGCCAGCAAATATTTTTCAGTACCAAAGGTTGGTTGGAAGATTGATATACTTGTCTCATACGAGGCCAAATATTGCATGTGCCGTAAGTGTTGTAAGCCGCTTTATGCACAAACCAAGCGTAGATCACATGAATGCAGTGTACCGAATTCTAAGGTACTTAAAAGGGTGCCCCTGGCCGAGGATTTTTGTTCTCAAAAAATGATGTCACAGGTGTTGAAGGTTACACTAACTCTGATGGGGCTGGAGATAAAACAACAAGGCATTCCACATATCAGGCTATTTCACCTTCGTGGAAGATAATTTAGTTACTTGGAAAAGCAAGAAACAGAAAGTAGTAACAAGATCAAGTGCAGAAGCTGAATTTCGAGGTATGGATCAAGGAGTATGTGAGCTATTGTGGGTTAACAGCGTATTAAAAGACTTGGAAATTTGTTATGACAAACTAATGAATCTCCATTGTGATAACAAGGCTGCCATTGGAATAGCAAATAATCCTGTGCAACATGACCGAACCAAACATGTGGAGATTGACCGATATTTTATCAAGGAGAAGCTAGTTCAGAAAATTATACAGTTGCCATTTGTTAAGTCAGAAGATCAATTAGTTGATACACTTACTAAAGCTGTTTCCAGAAGAGTTTTTCAAGGTGCAATTGACAAGTTGAACATGATTGACATCTATGCTCCAACTTGAGGGGGAGTGTTGAGTTGTATATTTTTTATAATTGAAAAGATTTAATTTCTGATTTGATTGACCAATTTATGTAGCAATTAAAGAGAATTCGTTACATGTAAAGATTGTAGGAATTATGTGGAGAGATTTTATGAGTTTTAATTTCCTGATTATTTGTAATTTTTTCGTTGATTTATGGCTGATTTGTATCATGATTTATGACTGATTTGTAACTCTGATACTATGTATATAATGACCTCTATTGAGGTAGAAGAAATACACATGAATTACTATTATATAGAGTTGCTTGATTTTTAACATATATATAGACCTTTTTAAATTGGAAAATGCTTGTTACATATCGTTGTCAGGAGGAGTAGCTGAGGTAGCAGACTGCATGTGTGGAGCATTCATGGTGAAAATTGTGCAAATGTCATTAATTTCTTGGCAGCTATTAGGTGGCAAACTTTTAAGCTCAGAGCAACATCAACCACAGAAGCTGGTTAGGCTCATCTTACATCTTACTGTTTATCTTTAAAATAAATAAGTAAAAATATATTTATTTTTAATTTAACAGAATATACCATGATTATTATTGACTGAATAATCTTACAGTAAATATACTTTCAAAACATATTTACACTAGAAACTTCATAACCTTACTTCCCTCCCTTTCTTTTCTCTCAATCCTCGAACAAGGACAAAAGAGCATAATATAAAACCAAATTAATTGTGGCAGGATGACAATAAAGAAAACAAAATAAAAAGCTATAAATCAAATTTTACCTTAATGTGGTTTTTGTAGTATCCCTTCACTACAGGGTTTGTGAAGAAATCATCTTCAGAATTTACAGACTGGCCCTGACTCCTTGCCCAGTCCACATATTGTTTCTTTCCTCCTAAGTTATTATAATTATTCACCAAACTTAACACCAGCTTGAGACCATATCTTCTGGCTTCAGATATTACGAAGTCCAACCCCTTCAATTATGAATTAAAGAAAGCAGAGTACGTAACACAAATCAAACAAATAAGAGTGCACAGCACAGCAACTAGACAAAAAAAAAATAATGCAAACAAATAAACAAATTGAAGTGCACGGTTAGAAAAATATAATATAAAATTATTAAGAGAAGAAATTTTTATTATTTTATATTAAATTACATACCTATATTATATTTCTTTAACATTATTAAGTACTGCATTAAAGATTGAAGAAATGGTGATGAAGACTAACCTGGAACATGTCCTCATTGTAGGATCCAGGAGAGTATTGTAGGGGTTTATATCCACCATCACTGAAAGCCCATGTTCTGGCTATGTTAAGTCCATGGTTTGTTGCCTCTTGAAAAGCAGATGACACCTTGTTTCTCTGAGATGGATCAGAGGCCACATACATTAGCCAATAGGCATTAAAACCATTAGCATAGTAGGGACTACCATTCAACATAAGCTGCACTCCTCTTGCTTTCACAAACCCATCATCTCCTTCTACTAATTGGAGCAAAATCCCATGTTCTAGTATAGTATAGAGAACTAAAAAGACCAGAAAAAAACGATGCTTCATCATTCTGCGCTCCTCTTAATGCAGTGTAGGATGTTTCAACTTCTAAAACGCACTGAAGCCAATATAAGGAGCTTATTTTCTATTTTCTCTTGAGGACATATTCTTTGCCCAAAAATAAAAAGACGTGGAATATGAGTAGAAATAAATATAAAGATAAAAATATTATTTTTTGTTATATTTAATAAATAAAAAGTACCGAATACTTTATTATCTTGGAACATCGAAAATATTTTTCAATATAAGAACCATTTGTAGTTTATAACGGTAAGTGTCTTTATGTTTGATAGTAAAATATATATGGAAAATTAATTTCTCATTTAATATAAAATAAACTCATTTTTTTACATTCAGATATTGAGTGGTGGGACCAATTTATATTTTTTTTCTCTTCTCTATTCTCTTTCTTCTCTTTTATACATGTGAGTTGTGAGTATAAGAAAATATATTTATCTCATGTAAAATGAGATAAACAATTTTCAATATATATTTAAAAAAGAAATAGATGGTGTAATCACGTAAACATAATCTTTTTCACCAGTGACTAATGTTGATCGAAATGCCAGAACACTACACTCTAAATTAACGTTGTCTTTAAGTAAAAGGAAAGGACAGAGGGGATTGTGGATGCAGTGGATTTGTATAGAACCAGAGACTATCACGAGTCACTGTCACACTGTACATGTAATGACTCATAACCACAACCATGGAAAAAGGTGTGGTTACAAAAATAATTTGCCTTGTCCATACAAAATTATTGCCCCGTGATGTGAATTGATTACTGTGGCATGGAAATAGAATTATGGACGCATCCCACTGCCCAAATGACATTAACATTGTTAAGCGTGAGATACAAGCTCTGGAACACGTCAATCAGTGGGATATTTTTTTAATACAACAGGTGCACCAAATTTTTTTTGAAATGACATAAAGAAGAATATAAAAAAACAATAGATTAAAGTGAAATTTTTTTATCTATTTTAATAAAGAAAAAATGTATCTTATTTTAAAGTATATAAAGTTGTATTATTTGAGAGAAGAGATAGATGATACTAAAGAGAATGAACAAAAAAAATAAAAATATAAGTCTCATCTTTTTATGAAAATAAAATGATACAATTTATATCATTTAAAAAGAAAAATATTTTTTCGCTTTAATAAATAAGTATATCGAATTCGACACCCCAAATTTACCAAAAGTTTGCTCCAATTAGTGACTCCACTTCGAAGTGTTTTCTTACCTTCCAGGGACGCTACACTCGCACACGGCACCGTCACAAAAAGTAACTACTTCCAAAGAAAATTAAATCAAATTTTTATTCTACAAATATGTTGGTGAGATAATGACTCCTATTGACTGAATTAATAAGTTCATATATTGAAACATTACCTTTCATAGTTTTTTTTTCCCTTAATTCTTCTCATATTATTAGAGAATAATATAAATTATTAAAAAAATCTTCATCCAATAATTTTGAGTTAAAGTAATATTAGAGCTTCAGTGATTATAAGGTCACTAGTTTGATCTTTACCACCTCTACTTTCAAGTATAATGAAATAAAAAGCACAAAAAGTAAACCAAAAATTAGACCTGTGCAATATCCACGCTTCAAGCTCATAAAGGGCTCTCATGCGTGAGGGAGTGTGTTAGAGAATAATATAAATCATTAAAAAGACCATCACCCAACACCTTAAGATTTTGGGTTAAAGTGGTTCTTTACAAATATTTCATGAAATAATTTTATCTTCTATATATACATAAAATTAAATGGGATTCACGTGGAGTTATATGAAGAAAAAAAAAGAGAAAAAAATATGGGTCTCGTATATTTTTATGTGTGTAGGAAATAATTTTATTACCTACAATAAAAGCGACGTTAAATCCTATTGTTTTATTGTATCCATTGTTTTATGGGTTACCCAATTAATCTGATTCGAGTTAGACATGATCACATAAGCTCAAATAATTTCTTACCATTTAAATCACGAGGTTGGTGTTACCTTGTATAGTTATTAACTGGAAGAATGAGAAACCCAAGTTTTTGGGATTGAAAGCAGTGTTTTAAAAATCGGCTTGAATCGGCCGAGTCGATCCGATTCTTAGTGACTTTGTGGATTCTATGATCCGAGCAATCATTTAAACTGATTATGAAGTCAATTCAGTTTGGACCGGTTGATTTGACCGAGACTCGGTGATCCGGATGATTAGGGTTAGATCGATTGAACACCCTTCCCCCCTTTTGTAAATTTTTTTTTTTGGTAAATCTTTTTTTTTTGGTTGTTGAGAACTCTTGAATTAAATCATGCTCATATTTTGTGATAAATATGATTAAAGAGTAAAGTAAAAATAAGAAGGTACTTTACATTAGTGCAGTTCGTTTATGTAATTCAGTTGCATCTTATAATAATCTGAAGAAGTTAAGTGGAGATAAACACTAATGGTCTCATTTCAACAGTGAACACTTTTTGCTTAGTGTATATTTCATACCTATAATTTGTTATCGTAATTTAGTTTATCTGTGTTTTGTCAAGGCACAAAAAGTGCATTTAGCTTACATTGCAATTTTAATCTAATATTAGGATATAGTCTAGAATTAAAAATTCAGAAGTATATAATATTTGCTATCATTGAGAATCAATTTATTTTTTGAAGCTCATTGATAGTTTTTTATATGAATTTTTAATATAAGTAATATGTTTATATTTTTTTAATATGTAAACAGTAAATCTGATTGAATCCGGTTGAACTAATAATTGAGAGTGACGTAATACTTTAATCAAGTCAATCCCAATTTTAAAACACCGATTGAAAGGTCTCAACTGCGAGGAAGTTTGGAGTAAGGTAGCCTTCTTTTTTGGGACTGGAACGCCTATTGTTAAATTGAATTGAGTTCATAACATTTTTTACAACAGTTATTTAGTATTGATTTCAATTTCTAAGGATAAACTGAATCTCGTCAAAGAGTTATTAAGGACGACATTGTAGATTATCTTCATTCTTCTCCATTAGGGAAGCTAATCCTCATGCTAGCCTCTAATGTAGTTGTAGACTAAGAAAAACACAACGAATAAAGTGGTAGACAAAAATGACAGTAAAATTATAGAGGAATCAAAACATCTCAGCAATAATGTAAAAAAATATAATATAAAATTATTAATTGGACTTCATCAAATTCAAATTATTATATAAAACAACTTCCAAGTTCCAACAATAACGCTAATAACGATCATTAAAATTTAGTATAAAATACACAATAATGATAATTACCTTGCATTTTTTCCCTTACCAATTATCAACTTAATAGACAATACAATTTTTTAATAACAAAAAAAGTTAATAAATGTTAGAGATAAAATCATTAAAAAACAATTCACATAATAACTTAAACTTTTAAAATAATAACTCTATTTTTATCAAGGCCATCTCTGCTGCTCATACAAATGCCATAAAAATAAAAAAATAAACATGAGAAAAATAAATAAAATGAAAGAGACGTATGTTTATAAGCGTTGGTAATGACGTTGTTTAGGTATGTACCAAAAAAAAATGACGTTGTTTAGGTCTTTTTTGGGTCATTTATAAGCATTCGCGGGTTTGACAAACTTGCATATTTCGGAACTGACAATTACAAGCACAGTAATTAAATAACTTGCTTTTTTTTTTTTAGGTTGATTTTCATTTTAGTGGAAGTCTGGTTTTTAATGATGTAGCTGGGTCTCCTTTCCCGTAGTTGTTCTAGTGGTTTAGTCTGTTTCCTATTCTAGTTTTAAAAAAAGTTTACAAACAAAAAAGAAGAGTCCAATACTTTCTATTCAGTTTACAAGATCCATCACCATCATCCCACAGCTAAAAGAAGAAAAAGAGTGAAATGCGTAATTGTATATGCATTTCACACAGCTAAGAGTCCAATGCTTTATCATTATCTTCAAAATCCCTTTTTGTTTTATCAACTACTACACCTAATCTACTAAATTTACAACATCTGATTAGCACATCACATATATTGTTAAATTAAATTTAAACCTATCATAATAAAATTTAAATTAAATCTTTACTATTGTTTGTAAAACTCTTACGTTACTTAACATTTTTTTCTTTCCTCAATTTTTTTTTCTTTATATAGTTTAAGGGTTTTATAAGAGTTATACAGTTACTCAAGATTCTGATTTGTGACTACGAGAAACAGTTCAAGTGTAGACTGTATGTAGAGTATTACGAGTATCATATTAGGGTTTTACTTCTTTCATGTTATAGGAGAGGAATTATCTTATGTTGTGAGATAAATTAAGTGGGGCCCACAAATTTAAAAAAAAAAAAGAAAAAAGAAAAAAAGTGAGACACATCTCCTCCACGCATCAATATATACGCGCGTATACATATGTGAGGCAAACTTTTAAGACACATTGATCTTCCTTTTTAAAAAATGCGGTCACTTATTATCACATTTAACCTTTGTCTCCATATATTTAGAGATTGTCCATTAGCTCTAAATGTTTGGAAACTGCAAATTCTCCAACCCCTTCCTTCTAGTTTCTTTGCTCTGATTAATTTTGCTGACTGGGTGCAGATGAATGCTAATTTTGTATCAAGCAACCATCTAGATTGGAGAGACTATTTTTTCCTAATTTGTAACTGCTTGTGGTATTGGAGGAACACAACAGCCCAAGAAGCTGATTTCAAAAGGTCAAGTAACCTTGCTAATTACATCCAGAACAATCTAGAAGAATACATTTCTTCTAGAAATCTTAAAATTTGTATAGCGACCTTCCATTCAATTTTGTCTTCTGCCTCCTTTTGGTCCTGCCCTTTGCAAGGTTCGATCAAACTCAATATTGACGGGACTGTAGAAGGAGATAAGGCAGCCTGTGGTGGTCTAATCAGAGACTCTAACGGCTCCTGACTAGGTGGATTTACTTTTTTTCTAGGGTCTTGCTCTCCTTTGCTAGCAGAACTTTGGGCTATTTTTCATGGCCTTACCTCTGCTTGGGACAAAGGATGGAGGAAGGTTGAAGTGGAGACTTATTCATTACAAGCTTTAAGCTCTCTTACTATAACTGGTAATGATTCCCGTAAACTTTCTTTGGTAGCTAAGATCT